AATGTCCTCGTCGAAGCCTTTACCAACGCTAGAACTCCTCGCCTTTGTTGAGTCTTCAATCTTCTACTTCAACTGTAATGAACCTCTTAGCTCCCAATTGCTCTCCATTATTGTTGTTGAGTAGTCGAACTTTTAATCCGTCATGCTGCTTTAACTCTCCAATAACTCTAACTTTGGTGTGGGGTTGACTGAGTTGTAATGATCCCTGTTGTTTTTTATGGATCCCTTAGATAAAGGAAAAGACCATCCTTAGTATGTGTTAGTCTCTCAAATACTTCGTGTCGCTTGAACTAGGTGAATGCTTATTGGAGCTTTAATGAGCATTGCCTCGTAGACTTTAAAGTTTTTGGGTCCTTCCTCTATAAAATTTGCCCATCGATTCTTCTTCCACTTAGTCATCACTTCCAAGTAGGTTCGCATCACTTTCGTTTTCGATTGGTATTTTATTGGGAAATGAAGCGAATAATCTACTCTTAGTAGCACTGATCACCATTGGTGAGAATTTGACAACTATTATCTTCCATTAGGTTTCTTTGAAGGGTCTTTGAACTTGTGCAAAGCTCATATGTTGGATAGATAAGAGAATTGGGGTACTTAGTTTCGACTATTCTTTTAAGAGTTAAGAAGGCAAAGGTTACTTGATTTTGCTTGTCTTCTCGAGTGTTGTACTTCATGCATCAAGCTGATTACTAGCCTTCACCCACTCTTTGCTCACACTTCTGAAGCACTCGAAGTATTTGCACTCATTGCGTTGTGTTTGCTACTATGATTCACCTTCTCAATGCCATCGAACTTATGGAATGTAAGAAGTTTTCACCCTAATATGGAGCAAGTCTCTAGTAGTTTTGGTTGCCTTTGGGATTGTACCGACTTCTCCATCATCTTTGTTGCCGACTCCTCTGAGTTGCAAAGGTACAACACTGTGTATTGTCTAATTCGTTCTTTAATCGAGCACTCTTATATCAACTCGAAATCCTCCACTTTCGGCTATCTTGATGAGAAGCTTGTTGACACCGGTCTTACAAAGTTCTTTGGCCTCTACCCTTCAATCTTGTCTCGGTACTTAGAGTTTGCCTTCGCATTCTTCACTCCTCGGCCTCTTTCACGACTAAGCGTTCTCCCTCCATAAGAGCAAGGGATCGATGACTTCATGGAAGTCTTGCCTTTGCGATACCATGGTGCTGTCATGCCCATAGCCCTATTATCTATCGCCTCGCATATGCATCCCTTTCTTCATGATCGGTAGATCTGCCTCTATAGCACTGTAGCACTTCTCTGAGTCCACCTCCATTCTAACTAATATTTGGTTTTGGGTAGCTAAATCCCTCTGGACTCGTAGTAGCTTCCTCGCCCCTTTCGACCCCTTGCTTCAACACCTTTGTGTTCTCCAAGAAGTTCCCCTTAGTCGATGGAAAGATAAATTGCAACTCCCATGCATTGCCTCCACCATCATGTTGTAGGGTTTGCACCAATTCTGTTCTCGTTAGCTTCCTTAGTAGTAATGTTCGCTTACTCGGCCTTGTCATCTAACTTACCGGGCTCCCTTAAGTGAATATAAGCACTAAAGCAGTCCAGCTCTCCAACCGCTCCGATTATACCTCTGTATGATCAAGACCCCCTATGGGACTCACCGGTACTTGCATGTGATATTCTCCCTCAATAGTACACAACCGTCATATGCTGATGGCCAAAGCTTTTTATCCGATATAAAATTCAATGCACGCATGAAAGACTTGCCTCTACGATACCATAGCATTCACTCCTTAAATCTATAGCATTTTTTACCATCGTGTTGTTCACCGAAGTGGAGCTCCCAATAGCTCTCGATCATACCTTTGTATGATCTAGTCATTCGCGGGACTAGATTCGTGTGTATTGCATTGCCACAAACTATTCCAATATGATCCGCTGCACCATGTCGCCTCTTGGTGACATCTCCATTGCATTCTGATCCTTCTAGGATGAACTTAGATTATGATCTCTCCATGTATAGCCTCTGCCAACACATTGTAGAGCTTCTTCCACATTCGATTGTATTCACTCCTTTGGCAATCAATCTTCGTCTACCCGCTCTTGGGTTACACCTAAACAAAGCATAGCTCTAGGATAGTCCATCACATAGTAGCTCCCAAAGTCCACCGATTTTGCTGAAATCGGTGCACCATTGTTTGGATCCTGGGCTTCTACCCCTACCAGCACAATATTTGCCGTGCACCGCTTCCTTTATGGCAACTCGAATGGTAGCACTATGGCATATTCTTTGAGAGTACTCACCTTCGCGTCTTCTTGTCCCATACCAAGGTCTTCTGAACCCAACTTTGCCTCTACAAGTTGAGTCACCTTGGTTCCTCCGTCAAATGCTTCTTTGAGATAGGGTGCATGTGCCTCAAAGCTTCTTTCGTCTTTGGCACCATGTAGGATGAGTCTGCTTCATCAGAATGAAGAATGCATGGAACGACATTATCCCGCTCTTGCCTCTGCAAGAGTTCATTTCTTTGACCTTTGTCCAAGGAAAACTTTGTGCCTCTACTCTATATTTCATCTTCTATTCTGGTTCCCTTCATGTGGCTTGGGTACTTCCCCAAGTTACACCGAAGTTACTTCGCTCTTCGACTTGCATTAAGTTGATGGTGGCCCTCACACCCACTATTACATTGGGTTAACCCTTCATTGATTCTAATATATATATCAGCTCCAAATGTGCCTTCATTTGTATTGCCTTGGATCGCTTCCCCACTTGATCTCATAATGCATCTCCCAATGCATTACCTCAAGCGAGATCATGCGATGACTCCTCGCCACTCGCTCAGTTCGTTCATCTTTATGGAGTTTTTTGTTTTGAGGTACTCCTCCTCAACATATGCAGTTTGTTGCATATGATTCTCCCTCTGGAGAATTGGGACTAATCCCTCCAAGGTATTTGTCCCGTTGGAGCAACTTTTCTCTTTATATTCTTCCCTCTAGAACTTTCGGAGACCGTCATCCCCTTATAATACTCTATCTTGCTGAACAAACTATGCATTGTTTTGCCCCCGCAAATGCACTTGCTAGATTGCGACTTCACGTCAATACAGCCCTCACTACACCCCTCAAGGCCTAGCAACATGCTGAACTCGCTGCACACTTCAGCCTCATACAGATGTATCCTTCGTATGCTGAAGAGAAAGATTCAATGCTCCATGGCGCTAAGTTTTGATCATCTTGGGATGGTCATGAACATTACATTGTCCACATACAAGCCCTTGCATGAGTACTGAATTTTTCGAGTTAGCAATTCTCCTCACCTTTGTGAGCTTTGCATAACCCTTTCGATCGCTGAACAACTCATTCCACCTTACATGGTGTTGTCCTTTACCAAGCGCCTCGCTTGCCTTGAGCACCATCAAGTATGGTTGCTAACGTCGAGTCATAACTCAAACTCAATCATCCCAACCTTTGTGTGCTATATATTCTTCCAAGCTTGCTTGTCCTCGTGGTGTATCTTATGCAAAGAATTGGTCATTCCTCTGAATGTCAATCTCAAATGCCTACTCCTCTAAGTGACTCATTTTCCCTACATCTCTATGCCTGTTTTTCCCCAAACGGTTGCGCATGCTAGCTGCCCTCAACGCAGCCCCCCTAGGTCCCCTACGTTTGCATGCCAAGTGTTTATATGGGTGCTTGTCTTGCTTTGATACTATATGTTATGCACTTAGCTGGTTTTGCCTAAGTCGTGCGACACCATTGCGTGTCTATCCGTAAAGGTCTGCCTTCCCAAAACCTCTTATGATCTTCTAGGACTTATAAATGAGAAAATAGGTTAGAGAAAATGTCTTATTCGAGATCCACAAGCAATCATTTCAGGAAACACTTTATAGTCAATATAAATTATAAATAGACTTCATAAGTTCTGAATTGTCGCACAATAAAGGATCCAAAATGGTCTACTATAGACCAAAATCTCTCACAAGTGTCCACATGACAACCTTTATTTATAAGCTGAAAACGACCACCAAACCCAATTAAAATAGGGCTATTAAGCTTTCGATTATCCCTCTATATGTTATGCAAAACATAAACAAATCAAAAGGCATGGACATACATAAGCATTACATCAAACACCCCATTTATAATTTTGTTCGTGACAATTAGTACCAAAACATCTAAAAATCAAAAACATCTAAAAATCAAAAGAGAAATCCACCCTACATCAATAAATAAATAACGTACCAAAAAATCGATAAAAGATTAGTATGATTGATAAATTATACTTATATAAAAAATTCATGATTGATAATTATAAGACTTTTGAGTTATCCTCGCTCAAGAGTCTCCTTGTATATCCTCTCACATAAATATGAAAAAAAAATTTCTCTTAAACTCAAAAAATTATCCTCAGAGCACCCAAATGTCTTCCCATTCATTTTCTCTCATCAAGATATTAATATTGAAAGTGACAATTAAAATAAACTTTTAATCCTAACAATACCCAGTGAGTTTATAAGAAAGTCCAAATTGAGTTTAAATCTAACTAGAATTCTTATAACTAATTAGAATACAATTAATCCTAACAATACCCAGTGACAATTAAAATAAACTTTTCACAAATCAATCATTCATATGTTTAAAGATTTTACAATTTACTTTATCACATTTCATTGTTGAAATCAAATACATTTCTATTTTAAGTATATGAAATGGTAGTCATTTTTTTTTTATATTTTCAAAATTAAGTTCCATAATTTCAACATACCATTGCCTGTTTGAGTATGTATCGTGACTAAGTGATCTTATAATGATCTATCAAAATCCTTATCAGTTAAATTAATTAAAACCTTCATAATTAAATTTATTTAGTACTTTTAACAACATTTTTCATGTATAACCCTTTTTACCTATCAAACCCGTTGGTTTAGTGGAATTTACTTCACTTCTCATATATATATATATATATATATATATAGTTTAGCAACAAAATATATAGTTTACCACTGACAAATATAAAGCAACAAAAGTATCGGTAGAGTGAGGTGAGGAACGCAAGCCGATTGCCCCAAATCTGTGATTAGCCCCCCTCCGCCACCAAATCGACGCCAATTGCTTCTTTCCTAATCGGACGTGAGCCGCCGTTTGTTGCTCCTTCGCTTTCCAGGTACGGACTCCGACACGTCATCTTCCACTCACGGTGAGCGGAGAGGACCGAGGAGGGCCTCGCCGTGGTGGTGCGTGCTGCCGAGAGCTCAACCCATGGATGCCGGCGATCCCTCACGTCATACGATTCCGGTTCGACCTCCGGGTACTTAACTACACCTCCCAAAAGAATTCGCTCGGTTTCTCTCCGATTCCTTCTCTTGCTGTCCTCGGTTCCAGAGAGGGGCATTTGTTCCGTCTTTTACTACTCGATGTTTTTCTGGAGCTCTCGGTGGAAATTGGCGTTCTACGCACTTGAAAAATGAGATTTTGTTTCGGTATACGGTATGGATTGTTTAGGTGATCTTGTTGGTGAACTAATATACCGTGGCTTGGCTGATGAGTCAGCACGGCTTAGTCCATGGGTTAATGTCGGGAGCCTTCTGTCGAGTGAGCTGAACGATGAGTCAGCACGGCTTAGTCCATGGGTTAATGCCGTGCCCTCGGGAAGGAATGCTCGTTGGCGTTGGTTGGGCTCCGGCTGATCGACGGCTCGTCCTTGCGCATGGATGGTGACCCCTGGGTTGAGATGCTTGTCGCCCGCGGGTGGTCGTCCACTTGCAAAATGGCCCTCATCGGGTGATCCCCAACTTTCGCCCCTCCGACGAGCAAGTCAGTAGTGAGATGGATTATTTTTCTATTTTTCCTCTCTCCTTGGCCAGATGCCGGCCAGGGGCTTTATACTATTGTACGAGAGTCGGTAGCACGTCGGTTCGACGTGGTCGCTGACCTTCGAGGGATGGGATGACACTTGTGATTGGCCGTCGCCTCTGGTGGCATGCGGAGCAGCGTTAGACGGCACCGCCCCGAGCTCTCGGGATGGGACATGTGGAATAGCTTCTTGGTACGGTTCTGACTTGGCATGTGGCATTAGCTGTGACGTGTCTTGGGCTCAAAATATGCTGTATCACTTCCCCCCCTCTCTAAGGCGTGTCGTGAGATCCTTAAAGGGACGGGAGGCATGCCTGCGTCGGAGTGAGGTTGATCGCTTATGAGGGGAAGGTGGATTGATTTATCGTAGGGTGACTTAGAGGGGTTGCGCCCCGTGCTTCGGGCAGGATTGATTCTGTTGATCGGGCGGCTGGGGCCTGGTGAGGCGAGACCGACGTGTTGTAGGTCGGATAACCGGTTTGGCGTGGCTCGGAGTTACGACCGTCGAGTTTGCAAGTCGGTGAGCGAGTTGGAGCAGTTCGGTTAGAGACTTGACGAGCTGCGAGTCGAGGATCGACGTGGAGCGACTTGGACAACGGACTAGGCCGGCGAGGTGTGGCTCGAACTTTGGACTGGCCGAGAGGCGACTAGCCGCGAGGCGCGGTTCGGACGTTGGATCGGCCGAGATGCGACTCGGGCGTTGGATTGGCCAAGATGCGACTCGGGCGTTAAATTGGCCGAGATGCGACTCGGACATTAGGTTGGCTGCGAGGCATGGTTCGGGCGTTGGATCGGTCGAGATGCGACTCGGGCATTAGATTGGCCGCGTGGCATGGCTCAGGTGTTGGATCGGCCGAGATGCGACTCGGGCATTAGGTTGGCCGCAAGGCGTGGTTCGAGCGTTGGATCGGCCGAGATGTGACTCGGGCGCTTGGACTTGTCGCAAGTCAGGAGCAATCTGGAGCGACCCGGGTAGGAGCTGGACTTGTGGGCCGAGAGACTATACTCGGGCTCAGGTTTCGGTGCCGACGAGTCGCAAGTCGGGAGCGATCTGGAGCGACCC